GGCGGCCCGAGGGCTCGGGGGCCCCGGCTCCGCAGCGCCCACTCACCGCTGCTGCTGGTGAAGTAGAACACCATGGTCCCGGCGGCGGCGCGGCGCGGCGCGCAGCGGCAGCTCTGCACTCCCACGCGCGGGGCAAGCAGCGCTCAGGCCGCCTCTTGCCGGAACTGCCCCCGCACTTCCGGGCCCTGACCGGAAGCAGGGGCACTTCCGGCGGACGTCATAACACTGCCCCGTCAGCGCCATGTTTAATCCTGTGGACTAGGGAGTGGGAGCGGGATGGGGCGGGCAGGAGCGGGCGTCCGATAGATCGTGCAGCTAGGCCGCTCGGTGGTGGGGGAAAACAGCGGGGAGACGCCCTCTGAGGAAATAAAAACGCTGCTAGCAGATTAGTTTCAGGAGCCCCACTCAGTCGGCGGCAGGACTTGAGGCTTCGCCCCCCAGTGGTGCTCCCGGGAATAGAAACCGCTGGCCCTTCCCCAGCCAGCGTTCACTGTCCTTGGCTCTTGTTAGGTGCTGATTTCATTTTGAAAAAGCCCAGATTCGTCCACAGTTCTCCTTCTAGTCCCGTGGCGGTAAGGCGCCTGTCGGCACATGCTGGACTTCATGTCATGTGCAAAATGAAGATGAGTAGATCTGCTAATCAGGTTGTTGCTAGGCTCAAGTAAGTGAATAGGCGTCAAGGGCTTGGGATATAGTCAGCACTCAAGTGAGTTGCTGGGGGATAATCTCCAGAGCAGTATACCTCGAACAGTTTGGAAGGGGGTCTCTGTCCAGTCTTCGAGTCCAATGTCTGCCAACCCTTTACCTAGGAGATTGGTCAGATTACAAACCTGAGAAGCGTTACCGTTGTGAAGCGAAAAATTGCATACCCCATAGCATTTGGCCTTGTCTGGGTTGTTTCTCTTCATTTAAAGACTTACTTTGTTGGAAGCTAAAAGTTAAAAATTTAGGATGGAGGCCTCCTAAGAGCAGTACCGGAGATGGGGGTAGAATTGATTAACATAGCCATTAAATCAGCTATAGAAATGAAAAATCCTTAAGCCCCCAACTGCCAGAGCAAGTACACACTGCTATAGAGAGTAGCCAGGTGGTGATTAAGGGCCATTATGGAGAATCCCTGGATCTTCTAAACCTACCCTGCAAGTAATTAATTTAACAATAGATAACAATTCCACAATGGAATGAACCCCTCACTGAAGAGAACACTACCAATGTAATTTCTGCTTTAGCTAAACTCAGCTCTCCTCCCCAGACTGCCCACTAGCGTCTATGCAGGCATCTCTTTTCTTACTACCTTTTTCTCCTGCCCTGTAACTATGCAGACGTTTCTTTCACAAACCTTTCACTTTGCAGCTCTATTACCCACTTGTGCCTGTGCAAGCATCCCTTTATTAATATAATAAACCTACCCTTTTGGATATTACTGCTTAAATATCTCTACCTCGTGGGAAAACCCCGCTATGTTCCACTGAAGGGCAACTTCTCAGCAGTAACCAAAGGACCCCGTTCAGTGACTCTAACACATCACTATGAAGTTGAATGAATCACTTAAGTAAATTTATTTGGAACTAACATATGTGCCAGGGGCTGTAACAAGAGGTGGAGACGAGATCATAGTGATAGTTAATAGTAAGTGCTTTAGCAACTGCAGCTTTTGAAAGCCAGAACCTGCCCATGCCTTATAAATTGGAATTGTTGCTAGGCCCTCAATTATTCTCTGTAAATTGTGAGTGAATGTTATAGGGCACCCCAAATCTGTTCCAGGACAGGGGGAGAGGGGCACCCCTAAAGCCCCCAAAACCTGCCTGCTCTAAGTGGGTTCTGCCATCCACCGCAACAAGACAAAAACATATAAAACTTTAATGAAAAGGGAATTTAATACAGTAAATATACAATACAGAACACAAAGAACAGAACTTCTAAATCAAACATCTGAAGTTAGCCATCCTCTCGTGGGCAAGAGTCAACCCAAAAGGGACTGGCCCAAAGCAAGGCCTGAAAGCTGCCACAAGACTAAAGCACCTCACGGCCGGGACCCATGGAAAAGGGTCAGAAATGGCCAGACAAATCTGGGAGCAAAAGAGCAACATCAAAATCAATATAAACACTGCCATAGTCACCTCCCTACAGGTATCTCACCCACATCTGCCTTAGCCAGTCCGGGGTCAGGAAACAAGTCCGGTTTCTTCATCACATGCTTGATGCTCCATGTGGCTTCCTTAGGTCTCCTCCTCCTTCTCCATCCTGCTTCATTCTCTTCTTCTCTCCTTTTTCTCTGCTCTTCTCCACCCTCCTTCTGGGTGAGGCAGGGAACCTGGAACTTCCCTTTTTCCTAGGGACCACCCTGTTACAATAAGAACTATCCCAGAGCTTGAGGTGAGAAGGCAATGAAATAAAACAAACACTGAAAGAATGTCTGGCACATAGTGTTACAGAGCAACGCCAGTGTGAAATTCCCTGCCTAGCAATAGCAGGTATTAATGCTCTAATTAAATTTTTATAATTTAATTTGAAAAATACAAAATGAACTCAAAACCAAACATATTACTAGTAGAGAAAGTTTAATCATCAAGTTTCAAATGTGAAAAATAAACGCTTATTTGGAAAGACTACTTTACAAACACTAACAAAGGTGGAAGTATAGCATCTCCAGAGAAGGAGGCCTACTTTTTCTGCCGAAAACTACAATTCCCAGAATGCACCTAATAAAGACCGCAAGAACGGAGCCTGTCGCTGCCTCAAGGGATTGTGGGAGGTGTGGTTTCCTGACGAAGAGACCCTCTGGGCTTCCAAGGGCGGGAGAATCTTGGCGACCCAGTCCCGGTGGGCGGGGCCAGGTTCAGGGAGCGACCAATCATCGCGCCAGACCCTGGGGTGGCGGCGAGAAGCAGCAAATCAGATCTCAGCGGCTTCTACCTTGACTGGCGCGCGAACGTTTGAATACAGAGCTGCAGCTACAGGCTCGGCAGAGCGGAGGTTGCCGCCTCTGGCGCGCGGGTAATTGCTGCGGGGTCGACGCGTGTGGTGGAGGACGGGAAGGCGGGGCGTCTGAGGGGCCAGGAGGCTGAATGTTCAGGGAAAAGGGGTGAAGCGCCGGGCTCCGGGTCGGCGGCTGGACGCGGCTCTCCACACTTGCGGGCCGGGGGTTCCCTCTGTCGCACCCCAGAGGGACGCGGGGTCGGGGTGCTGTCCTATCTCCTCTCCTCAGCTCAGGAATGGTCAGCCCAGAAGACGTCCTTCGCAGGGCTCCCTGCGGCCCTGGCCTCTCTGTTCGACCCTTTAGCCTCGGAATCGCGCTTGTGGCGTTGCAAAAGGCAGACGCGCTCGCGGAGGGGAGCAGTGAGCCCGCGCCGCGCAGCCCGTGGCCTCCTCAGCTCGGGGCTCAGTCAGGGGGCTGGCGGCTGGCTCCCAGCCGGCCTGGGGGAGGGGGCGCGCCGCTTGGCCAGACCGGCTGTGGACGAGCCCGGGAGACCCCCGCGAGGCGGGGTGCTAGGCAAGTGTGGGGGTGGAAACTGGGTCCCGGGACCGCGACGGGACGGGGACTCGAGAGCAGGGAGGGCTCCCCGGCTCCCCAGAAGGGGCGGCTCAAGCTTGGTAGCAATTAACCCGCCGCGGGGTAGGAAAAGGTCTTCCTCCGGGGAGAATCGTTTTCCAGCCCCAAACTGGCCCCATCCCGCCTTTGGTCCTGCTCTCCAGGGCTGTGTGGTGCAGTGGCTCTTTGCCCTGCCTGCTTTCAACACAGAGGAGGCTTGAGAGCAACCCTGTTCTTGGGGTGGTATCGCCATCTGGAAACTAAAAATTTTTAGTTTTAAAGCATAATTTTGATACAGTGGTTTTAAGTCACTTGAGGAGTTTGATTATTGTAATTTTCCTGTCGCTTTTAGGAGTTCAGTTAAGAAGATGCCAGCTTTTACTCCAAGGAAAAGGAAGCAACGGTCTTCCAACGGTGACAAGTGAGTCTCACCCTAGAGGTGGCAATGCTGAGGACAACCTGCTTTCTGGTCCTTCTGGCTCTGAAATGTCCGTTCTGTTCACCTGCTGCATGTGGCCGTCGTGATATTTTCTATTCTGATGCTAGACTACAGCAATGTTACTTCATAACTATCCAGAGCCTCTGGAGGGAGAGCAGAGAAATGAGGTTATCTGCTCTCTGTGGCTTGGAAATGTATGGCAAATCTTTCATTACCTTGCTCTGTCCAATCTCATATAATGGTTAACTGTTTTGCGTGCATAGCAATTCTCAAAGTCTGTGCACTACTTAGTCCGTGTGCTAGAAGAGAGAAGTTACTCCCCACAGAGCAAGCCTCTCAGGCATCAGTTTGTTATGTAAAATTCATCATTTAGGTGACTTGTAGCCATCTGAGCAAAGTGCATGGGTTTTAGTTTGCGTATGGCTAAGTAGGTTTTAAAGCATCTGCACATGTAGAACAACTTCTTTGCACACTGTTTTTATGAAGACATTGAATGCTTCATTTGTAAAGACAGTTTGAGAATCATGTTAATAGATAATGTGCATATTGGCGGAGAGGATGTATTGTTTTTGATAGGAGCTAAAGGTCTGTTTACTACTTAGCAGTAGGTGGACAGAAAATTGAAGCAAATAATGATACTTATTCATGGGCTTTTTTTCTTTTTTTTTTGGTATAGCCTGTTGTCAGAACTGCCATCAAAGAAATCACTTTTGGACTTGAGTGAAAATACATTTCTACCTACTAAAAAGCACACTTGCCACAACGGTGATAAAAACGAAGAAAAGGTGCTTGGCCCTCAGGGTCACTTCATTTCAAGTCCACACAAAACAGCTGAGAGAAACAGAGTGCCTCCTGCAGACCAAGGCTCGCCTTTTAAATCTGCTGTGTCTACCGTATCCTTTTACAACAGAGATAAGTGGTACCTCAATCCACTGGAGAGAAAACTGATCAAAGAGAGTAGGTCCACATCTTTAAAAACTACTGACGATAAACCTTTACCAAATGGCACAGAAGATGTGCAGAGAAAACCAGTTTACTCCAAGAAGATGAACAGAAAAACACAGAAGAGTTTAACTGCCAAGCGCCAGCAGGGTTATAAATGCATCAAGCCTGCCTCAAAGAATTCTAAAAATTCCAAGCAAACTCGAGTGGCCTATAAGCCAATGGTAGAGAAAGAGAATAATTGTTGCCCAACTGGAAATAATCTGAATGCACCTCGAGTTCTAAGCCAAAAAGTCAAACCCCAAGTTACACTCCAGGGTGGGGCAGCGTTTTTTGTTAGTAGGAAAAAACCCTCTCCTAGAAATTTGTCTCTTGAAAATAAGCCGTTGCTGGAACTCACCCAGAAGAACGTGGCAAAAGATTCTGATGTCAGCGTGAAGCAGGTGCCCAAAGAGCTGAACTTGGAACTGCTGAGTGCAGGTGGTAGAAATGAAGAGAAGCTAGTAAAGGTAAAGGAAACACCCATACATAGACGCCATGGCATGGCCAACTTACTGCTTTATTATCGGACTGGTGTGAATTCTGCAAAGACTTTAGAGGCAGGGTGTCAGGGTGGGACTGTTCCTCCTTGTTTGGCTGCAGGAAGCTGACCAACGTTTCCTTGGCACTGTGGTGTCTGTCATTAAGCGCCTTCATACATCACTCTTTCCCGCCTTAATTTCCTTTCATGAGCTTCATTTCCAGGTGCTGGTGTCAGCTCCTAGTGAGTAATCGGAGACACTGAGCCTCTGTGCCCCTAGCCCTCTGCTAGGATTCATCTTTGCTGCGTGTGTTCTCTCATGAGGAGCCACAAAGCTGTCCCCGGGTCAGGCGGAACCCTGAATAGTGGCAGGGTGCAGGGTGTCCCCTCTGCTGAGGTGACCTGCTCTTGAATAGTTGTAGTTGAATGAATGTTTGTTCCTCTCCCCAGGCTGTCTGTTGTCTCTCTCACCAAAGTAATGGTGTAAGTGAAATGTGTCAGATCTTTTTCTACTTGGTTTTTCCCTCTTTCCTGCTATTTGCCCCAAAAGTAGAAGTTAGAATCCTCTGACCAATGTTCTTTTTCTCTCGTTAGCATAACATGTTTTTCAAAAGCACATAACAAAAGGCTGCTCCTTTCTGATTTGGTGGTCACTGTAGGAAATTTTGCTATTTTTTTTGGTTCAGTTCATTATGATAGAAGGGATATTGTGGGATATTCATCCTTACTAGGAATTTTTTTTAAGATTTATTTATTTGTACATACAGAAGTGGGGTACAGGCCAGAGGCTCAGGGGCGGTGAGAGGCTTCAAAAGAGACAGAGTGGGGAGAACAGGCAGATGATCAAAGTACACTGCTGAGGGGAGCAGAGGTCTGCCACACCATGTGGTCACTTCCAGGGCAGGCGGGAGTCGAACTCATGCAGAAGTGGCTTTAGCTTCTCAGTGCAGTGCTTTAACCTGCTGCGCCACCAGGGCGGGCCAGGATTTTTTTTTTTTTTAAAGATTTGTTTCATTTATGCATACAAGAACTGAGGAGTAGGCCAGAGATGCAAGTGGTGAGAGTATTCCCCAGAGACAGTGGGGAGCAGAACAGGCAGATCTACTGAAATACATTGCTGAGGGGAGCACAGGGAGACAGGAAAGATCTGCTGTGCCCTGTGAGTCAGCTTCCTGGCCAGGGTCTGAGCCAGCCACAGTGGCTAGTGATGGCTTGATTGTGCTGACTTTAACCCCTGCACCACCAGGGAGGCCTTGACAGGGTGACCTGCTACAGACTTGAATATGTGCACCCTTCCTTTCAAACAGTTGTGTGTGTTTGGTGAAAATTGAGAATTTACAACCACATTATGAAATGTAGTCCACAATGAACAATATACTTTGCTTTAGAAAAAAAGATCTGTTAGGGTTCATTCACTGGATTGAAAATGACTTCTTTTTATTTTACCTACTTATTTTCAGAACTCATTAGCTGGAGTAGTTTCTTCAAAGGAATGCAAACCTGAGGAAAAGAAGCATTTTTCTTCAGAGGATTGTGTTGGTGAGAATAAGGCAGGTAAGTAAGAGAAAACATCTCAAAACTAGTTTGTTATAGACCTTCATACATGTGTCAATATGAAGTGATATATGCACCATATTTTGTCTTTTTTTTTTTTTTTTAAGATTTATTTATTCGTGCATACAGAGCTGGGGTACAGGCCAGAGGCTCAGGGGCAGCGAGAGGCTTCACCAGAGACAGAGTGGGGAGCAGAACAGGCAGATCGACGAAGTACACTGCTGAGGGGAGCAGCGGGCGGGTCAGGAGAGGTCTGCCACGCCATGTGGTCACCTCCGGGGCAGGCGGGGATCGAACTCATGCGGAGGTGACTTTAGCTTCTCAGTGCTGTGCTTTAACCCGCTGCACCACCAGGGAGGGCCAAATATTTTGTCTTTTTTTAATTCAGTATGTGTACCTGTGTTTGTACATGTGTTTACTTCAGGCCCTTTTCTATGGCAGCAACACGGCACATTTTGAAGAGGAGACCTCAGGCTGGGTTTTGAAGCAAAATACTGATGCTTCATGGTCTGTGGGCTGTGGCCAAACCCTTTAAGCTCCCTAGAGCTCGGTGTTGTATAAAATCATACCTACTCTTATTTTACCCAAAGTAAGAGAAAGGTGTAGACACAATTTTGTTGTATCAAAGCCCACTGGTGAGCAGAATCGACTAAGCCATAGAGAGGACACTGGTTTAGGCATCAGGAACCTTGGGTCTCTCTGGGTCTCCCGCTAATGAGCTGTGTGATCTGGGGAAGGGGTCCCCACAGCAAGGGGCTAGTTGAGTTTTTAGATTCCTCTTCATCCTGAAGTCCTATCGCTAGTGAGTTCCTGTCATGTCGCATTCTCAGCACCATTTGTTACTGTCCATTTCGTGTGACATTCTAACAGGTGTGTGCCTGGATCTTTAACTTGGCGTTTCCCTAGTGACATGATGTCAAGCACCTTGGCATGTGTTTTTTTGCCATGTGTATGTCTTTGGGGAAGTGTCCATTCAGCCCTTTTCCCATTTTTAATTGTTAGTCGTAAGAGTTCTTTGTATGATCTAAATACAAATTGTTGAACTGTGATTGCAAATATCTGCCCTCGGTCTGTGGCTTGTCCTTTTATTTTTCTGTAGAATGCAGTCTAACTCGAGTGTTTTTTTCTTTCCTGTTGTGCTCTGGGTGTTGAATGTAACAGAACATCACCAAACCCAAGCTTGTGTGGATTTTTCTCTTAACTTTTTCCTCCTAGAAGTTTTAGAGTTTCATGTTAGATGTTGAGTATGTGGCTTTTGCCTCTCTGCATTGAGTCGCCTTTGTCTCTGTCAACAATCAGCTGACTGCACTGCACGAATCTGTTTCTGGGCCCTGTTCTGTCCTGTTGATCTCTGTCCTTTGTCAATGCCATACTGTCTCGCTCACTGGTTAGTCTTAAAGTCAAATGGTGTTAGTACCTTTGCCTTACTGACCTTAACAATCTAATAGTTTAAAGCTAGAATTTATCCTATAATGTAAGTCATCATTTTTCTCTCCTACAGCTTCTGCTGAGTCCCTTCTCTACCCTATCTTCAGTGTGTCTTCAACCAGTGCGAAAAGGTAGGAGTTGACCTTACTTTAATGTTCTGGGTTTACTTAATTATCTGACCCCTTTTTATTTCTTAATACTAGTTGAGCTAGATGGAGAGCACTTCTTTTGTTCTCCACTAAGAGAACATTAAAAATTGGAGAGGGGAACCCTCCAAGGGGTTAGGATACAGCACTGTAAGCTGGCCACAGCTGTTTTCAGTGCCATTTTGATCCCTGCCCAGAATGTGACCCACAGGGCGCGACAGACCTCTCCTGACCTGCCTGCTGCCCCCCACCCCCAGCAGTGTATTTCATCAGTCGGCCTGTCCTGCTCCCCACTCTGTCTCTGTTGAATCTGCTCACCGCCCCTGCACCTCTGGCCTGTACCCCATTTCTGTATGAATAAATACATGTTTAAAAACAATTTGGAGAGGACCTCCCTGGTGGCCTGTAGGTCAAGTCTCAGCATTATCACCGCTACATCCTGAATTCAGTACCCCACCAGGGAGCTGACGCACATAGTGTCCCTCAGCAGTGTATTTCAGTCCATCTGCCTGCTCCGCGCCCCACTCTGTCTCTGGTGAATCGTCACCCCCTGCTCCTGTAGCCTATACCCCAGCTCTTCTATGCAAAAAAAAAAAAAAGATGGAATCAGACCTCACAGAAACCTCATAAGAGTTGAAAGAAGGAAAAGACTTTTACGAACTTATGATAATAATTGCTAACATTATTATACAGAACCTAGCAATAATAAGTAGTTTATGTCCATTATCTCAAAATAGCTTAGAAGGTCAGTATTATTATTAATCCCATTTTCAACTGAGAAAACTATAATTCATCCACAATTGCACAGCTATCAGGTAGCCACCATGAAAAGTTGTTGGATCGTAGTATGTGAGCAGCTAACTTGCTGTAAACTCAATATTCGAGTCCGCTCACTGTTTGACATGACAGGAATTTCTTTCTTTTTCTTTTTCTTTTTTTTTAAGATTTATTTATTTATTCATATAGAACTGGGGTACAGGCCAGAGATGCGGAGGGTGAGAGGATTCACCAGAGACAGAGTTGGGAGCAGAACAGGCAGATCGATGAAGTACACTGCTGAGGGGAGAGCAGGCAGGTCAGAAGAGGTCTGCCGCGCCATGTGGTCACCTCCGGGGCAGGCGGGGATCGAACTCATGCGGAAGTGGCTTAGGCTTCTTAGCACAGTGCTTTAACCCACTGTGCCACCAGAGAGGGCCGCCAGGAATTTCTTTATAACACGCGGTAACTATTCTGAGATTTGATAAAGAAAAAAATTCCATTTTTAAGGGTGAAGTGAACTTCAGAAGAAATCGTGCAGGTTTTATGTCACGGAAATGACAGTCCCTTACACTTGGAATCAGAGGGCAGGGTTTGAGCCTCCCCACTCAGTTCTGTACTTTTTACTCTGCTCGAGAACATGGCTGGTCCCTTTGAAGTAGCATCAACTTTTTCATTACTTTCCAATGCATTACTTCATCGAGTCACTCCCAATAGAAAGCCCTAAAATTGCAAGGCGCTCAGTGGATGTTATATATGTATCTGTTTTTATTGTGATCCCCCCAAAATTTTAAAAGTGTTAAACGATGTTGAACAACTTTCTATTTCAAGATCTCTGGTCGAAGAGCAGTCTTCTGTGGGGTCCATGGTACCCACCAACGTCTTGAAGCAGATCAGTGCCCCAAAAAGTTCTAATACCAGAGATGCAAGTAAAGAAACAAAAGACCAACTTGTCATTGTGAGTAACCCTCCCTCTCAGTTCTCACAAAAGCGTGGTTGATGTGTGTTGTGGCTATAATGTGAATTTACAAAAGCCAGCTAATCAAGCCGCACTGGCCAAGGCTGATAACTTCCTAGAATGAATGAGATGTTAAAGATCATGTCGAGTTTAATGAGATAGCCATGCTGGATTAGACCTGAGTTTGCCCAAGTACAGCCAGAAACATGAGCTAAAAATGGTTTTTACATTTTAAACAGTTGAAAAGATAATCTGTGCCCTGCAGAGTAGAAATTATTTACTGTCCGGAGCTTTGCAGAACATGTCTGCCAGCCTGCGTGTCCGGTGACTCAGAGCCTGGGCTTTGCAGTTGAGCGATGTCCTCTGAGAGCAGAGGGCGAGCATAGCCGTGAATGTTCCTGAGTTCCATAGAGTCATGAAAGTGTCTGTGGATTTACTGAATCTTTGTTATGTAATTTTTTGTTATGATATACTAGTATATTTTTACATCATTTTATGCATTTTTTTTTTCATCTCCGTTGTAGTCCCTGTGGGCTTCTCATCACCAAATCACTGTTATGTATTTTTTAATCAACTTTTATGACAAGGAATTATAATATTCCCAACCAATTTAAAAATACAAAAGCCTTAAGAATGTTTTTGAAACAAGGCTTAGATCTCACAGTTAAGAGCTTCTAAAGAAGTTCAGCTGCTTGTCTCAGCTATAATTTTATATATATATATAATAGTTTATTTTTACATCATTTTGTGCATTTTTTCATCTCAGTTGTAATTCCCCATGGGCTTCCCATTCTGCTATAATTTTTAGGACTTCATTTTATTCCTACTTCAAACCATGGGTCTAGGTAAAGAATCTTGATTTTTATACCATCCATTCAAATGGATATTTATTCCACCTATCAGTTACTGCATTTTTTAATCTCGTTTTATTTTGTCTGGATACCGAGGCGGTTATGCTAGCCAGGCTTTTTCACTTAGTGTTCCGCTTGTCAGCATCAACGGAAAATGAGAGAGTGAGTGCGCTCCTGAAGTCGCTAGAGCTATCTGTGAGCCACTGGAAAGGCCTTTTCTCCCCAATTACAGGACGCCGGTCAGAAGTACTTCGGGGCCACTATGTGCAAGTCCTGCGGCATGATCTACGTGGCCTCCAGCCCCGAGGACGAGCTGCAGCACGCCCAGCACCATCACAGGTTTCTGGAAGGCGTCAAGTACACGGTGAGTCTGGGGTCTTTCCCTTTGTTCTCAGAGTTGAACTGCTTTCAAGGTCACTTGTTTTGCTGAAATGGTGAACGTCTATCTATCCATAGTATGTCATCATCTGCAGTATCAGCCTGAACAGTAGAGAATGGCAGTTTTAAAAAGCTAACTTTCACTATTTCAAGCTGTGAGAAAACGGTGCAGTCGGTTTGGGGTGGGCGGCCCGTGTCTCCCTCTGGCTTTCCGAGCCCTGCTGGTGAGCTGTGAAACTCAGCTCGAGCAGACGCTCACCTCACCTCCTCTGCGGAGACTGCCTCCCTCCCAGCACTGCCTGTGCTTCCTCCAGACCTGTCATCCCAAGCCCCCAGGAGGTGCCACCTTTCTCCTGCAAGCACATCCTGTCATTGGCCTCTCTGGCTGTGCCTGCCCCTCAGATGCTTCCTTTCCTTCTCTCTTCTAATTGAGGTGACACTGGTGTGCACCATCTTTGTGTTAGAGGCTCCCCCTCCAGGGGGTTACTACACCCCACCCCCACCAAGGCACCTGCAGTCCACTGTGCCCGTCTCCACTTTGCTCTCCGCCTGCCAGCCCCTCTCCAGCCTCCATTCTGTCCTCTGCTTCTAGAACGGCTGGCTTAGCTTTCTCCCGCCTTTGTCTCTCTGTACTGCATGTAAGTGACCGTGCCTGGCATGGGTCTCCTCGCTGAGTGCCTTCTCCAGCTCCACCCATGTTTTGCAAATAGCAGATTTCTCTTGGTTTGGTAGCTGAAAGGTGTTCCATGGTGCATGGAGACCACTTGTTCCCTATCTGCTCCTCTGTACTTACTGGGGGGTAAGCTGTTGTCACAGGGGTGCTTTACCAAGTCAATGCAATCCCTAGAACAAACGGCACTGAAATTCACATGGGGCCATGCTCCATTTATATTATTTTTAAAAGATTTACTTATTTATGCATACAGAACTGGGGTACAAGCCAGAGGTGTCGGGGGAGAGGATTCACTAGAGACAGAGTGGGGAGCAGAACAGCAGATTGATGAAGTACACTGCTGAGGGGAGCAGTGGGTGGGCCAGGAGAGGTCTGCCACGCCATGGGGGTTACCTCCCTGGCTGGAGATCGAACATGCTCCGAAATAGCTGCAGCCAGCTCATAGTGCTGCGCTTTAACCCACTGCACCACCAGGGAGGCCTCTCTATTTTATTGCCATAGTCCATGCCATTGTAATTAGGGTTAGGAGGAAGAAGGAATCATCAACTTTAAATTCCTAGAGATTTTATTTAATCATATTAGCTTGGATAAAAATTAAAAGATAAGTCCAAAATATATGTTAGGATATTAGGAAAGTTCCTTTATCTAGATTTCATGCCATCGTTTTTATACTATTGTTTAGCTTTTGTTCTCTATAGAACAAATCAATGGCTTGCTTTCGTCTCTTCAGAAATTAATTTGTGGCTTATTTTTTCTTCGCAGGGCTGGAAAAAAGAACGCATCGTAGCAGAGTATTGGGATGGGAAAATTGTGCTGGTCCTGCCTCATGATCCAAGCTACGCCCTCAGGAAGGTATGGAGCAGTAGCTTTTTAGCACTTCCATACTCTCTCCTGCCCCTGCTAAGAAATCAACCTCTGTGGAAATGTAAAATGCCTATAGAAAATCCATTTTGGTCCTCATGTAAGGACTTTTCAAGTTAGTTCTTACAAAACTAAACTCAGAATTTAAGATTCCAGTTGGAGATTAAAGAAAACAGATATGGTGTTATAGCTTACCTTTTACCTTCATGCACTTGTGGAAGGACCATTAGCCTTTCCGGTGCTGAGATGGGTGAGCCAAGTCTGTGTCTTATGTTGGTGTGGCTTGTGTCTCTGGGCTGGGACGGGTTGTCCCTGCCAACAATAAAGAAAGCAGAAACAAAGCCTAAATTTCTTTCTGCTGAAAGTGGTCTTTAAAATGGGTTCTTAAAACCATGTTTTCCAAAGGGAAAACGTGCAACGTGGTGAAATAATGGAGGAGCATAATTTTAGGAAATAGAGATAAAGAAAGCTAAAGTAACAGTAATAAATTTTGTGCGTATGAAATACCCAGTTTTTATGACAGTTTTTAGAACAAGTTCTTCTCTTGGTTTTTAACATCATTAGGTAGAAGATGTTCAAGAACTTGTTGACACTGAATTGGGCTTCCACCAAGTTGTTCCCAGATGTCCGAACAAAACCAAGACCTTTCTCTTTATATCTGATGAAAAGAAAGTCGTCGGCTGTTTAATTGCAGAGCCCATCAAGCAGGTATGGCCTTTGTTTCTAAGTCACTGGCACATTTAGGAGCAGAAGTGGTGGTGACAAGTCTCGGTCAGTAAGAGCACCGTCAGTTACTTTTTCCTATTAAGTGTCCTTGGCTTTGGATAACTGAAATCATTTATTTCCTTTGTATTTCTTTTCCTGGCATTGTATCTGGAGAAGTCAGCATTAAGCTCCTGTCGTTCTCTCCACGCCTGGACTGTACGGTGATGTCAAATAGGCAAGCCTAAGGGCCCAGTTCCTGAACTCGTGGCTAAGTACAGGTTACTGTATTTGGCAAATTAGTTGTTACATGTCCCTTGATTTGAGTCTGCTTTTGTTCCTAATGGGCAGTGTTCTAGAAGTCAGCAAAGTGCAGTCTGAGCCATGTGTGCCATCTGTTTTTGCTAATAAAGTTTTATTGGAATGCAGCCGTGCTCCTCTGTTTCCATGTTTGTGCTGGCTTTAGTCATGCCGTGGCAGGGAGGACTGGGTGGGACAGGCTGCGTCACAGAAGAGCCTAAGACATTTATAATTTGGTCCTATACAGGGAAAGTTTACTAACTCATATTGGAGAATAGAGAAAAAATGTCTTTGCTTTTGAAATGCTTAAGAGGGTACTCGGCTAGGAAAAATTACTGTTCAATATTCTCTAACTAATCTATACCCCACATTTGTGTCTCCTTTAAATGTGTGTGTGTCTTCTGCCTACTACATCTGAAGATGATGGTAATAGCATAAATTTATCTTATACCTTCTTGAAAATGCCTTCCTCCCCATTTCTTTTATTTTTCTGATTTTTTATTGCATATATGTGCACACATATAGTTTCGCTTATGTTATCAGAAGCTGGGAAAACAGCTGACTTGTATTATCAGTAAAAGAGACCAATTTGACCTTTCATTTTATTTTTAAGGTTTAATTATTTATGCATACAAAATGGAGAGTTTGCCAGAGGTGCGGGAGGAGGTGAGAGGACTCCCCGGAGACAGAGTGGGAAGCAGAGCAGGTGGATCCACTGAAACCCACTGCTGAGGGGAGCAGGACAGGGCTGCTGGGCGACGTGGGTGGCTCTCTGGCCAGCACTGAACTGACACTGAACTACCACAGTGGCTGGCAGCAGCTGCATAGTGCTGAGACTTAACCCCTTGCGCCACCAGAGGACCCACCTTTATTTGTTCTTAAAGGGACTCTGTAGTAATAGCAGACAACATATAGCCAAACCGACTCAAGCCTGTTCTATTCATACTTAGCTCACAACCAAAAGTTTCTTGGTGGTTAAAATAGCTCCAGTGGAAAATAGCACCCACAGACCTACAGCAAATGCTGGCAGAGACGCTGGTACATTGCTGGGGGTGTAAACGTGAAAGCCACAGGAAAGTAAGTTGGCCGTGTCTCCAAGAATTAGTCATACCTGAAAGCCTGGAAATACGAGAATTATGGAGATGGAAACAAATGGTGTTTGCAGGGCGGGGGGGAGGGAGGAAAGACAGGCGAGGCTGTGTGACAAGAGGGAGGAGACAAGTAGCCATGTTTGGCTGTGGTCAGGGGTGAATGCAAGTCCCGGATAGTTGTCCTGGAGCAGTGCACCTGCCCAGGACTGCACGGTCTGGGCGATAGGCTGTTGGTGTGGAGGTTTAACCATTGGGGACACTGGGTGAAGGGAACAGGGTCCCCTCTGCCACTCCAACTCCCTCCAAAGTCAAAAGTTAAAAAAGGAACTTAGGGCCTCCCTGGTGGCACAGTGGGTTAAAGCACAGCACTATGAAGCGGTCCACAGTCACTGCAGCACGACTTTGATTCCCAGTCAGGGAGTGACCTCAGGGCGCAGCAGACCTCTCCTGTCTCCCCACTGCTCCCCTAAGCAGTGGATTTCAGTGGATCAGCCTGTCCTGCTCCCCACTCTCTGGGAATCCCCCCAAAACCCGCAACCCCGGCCCAAAACCCAAGTCCTGGAAGCAAAAAAAAAATATTTTTTTTAAAAAGGAGCTTAAATGCCAACCAGATTCCATAGCTTATATGCAAAAATCTTCTTGAGTGTCACCATGATTTTAGGTTATCATGTTCATTTTAGAATGAAGAGAATGGAAGTTTGTGTACTTTATTCAAAGTGAGTCTAATTTGTGCAAGTTTGTTTAAGATTTGTTTATGCATACAAGAGCTGGGGTGTAGGCCAGAGATGAGGGGGGATAAGAGGATTCACCAGAGATAGAGTGGGAAGCAGAACAGGTAGGTCCACTGAAATACACTGCTAAGGGGAGCAGCGGGCAAGACAGGAGAGGTCTGCTGCACCACGTGGGTCACTCCCTGGCCAGAGAGCAAACTCATGCTGGCGATAGCTTCACAGTGCTGTGCCTTAACCTCTTGTGCCACCAGGCAGGGTGGTTTTTTATAACCGATAAAAGGAGCTTCATCATGGTATGGAGGGTGCTGGACAGGTAACATCAGTACCACTTTTGTTTTTTAACTATTCTGTGACTATAAATGGACAAGAATTCAAGAAATATCAAATAACTTTAGCAATTGTGGTGAAGATATGATAAGATTATTTTTAGATGCTTAAGTTTTGTCTGTCGTTGCAGGCTTTTCGTGTCCTGTCTGAGCCAGCTGACCCAGGAGCCACTAACTCCAAAGAATGTCACAGGGCTTGGCAGTGTTCAGACGTGCCAGAACCTGCAGTCTGCGGCATAAGTAGGATCTGGGTGTTCAGGCTGAAGAGAAGAAAGCGCATTGCAAGGCGACTGGTAGACACTCTCAGGTAAGACATGAAATAGAATAAAATGGTCTAGACAAGGAGCAGCATTTCTAGAACTGCCCTGGCTCATGGCCAAGGGAATAAACTTGGTAAGGTAATTCTGTATAAATTCTCTAAGTGCAGCCAAGACAAGTGTTGCCACTGGGGGAAAAAAAAAAAAAAAAAAACTTGCTGGCCACGTTCGGAGTCAGTGATAGCAAGTGCCAGCCGCCTGCGGAGCTCGGGCCTGCTGCTCCTTGCTGTGGAAGCTGGTGGGCGGCCGGTGGGCGGCGTGGTTTCAGCAGGATTTCTTCTGGCCCTGTGTTTGCTCACGTGATGCATTCTCGTTGGACTTCCTGCCTGAATCTAAGGCATTAAGCCATTTTATCTTTTGCTAAACATGATGTTGCTTTAAATCAAGTGTTTTTGAAGAGATTGAAATCTTATACATTCTAATGCTTAATCTGAATTGTAAGTCGGTTCCATGGTTAAACCATCTTTTCCTCTTTTTTAGGAATTGTTTCATGTTTGGCTGTTTTCTCAGCACAAATGAAATAGCATTTTCTGACCCGACACCAGACGGCAAATTATTTGCAACCAAGTACTGCAACACCCCTAATTTCCTTGTGTACAATTTCAGTAGTTAAAGCTGACTTCACTGTTAACACAGTTGCTGTGTGGAGTTGACAGCCCGTCAGCACATAATTCAGCTAACAAATAGGAATGAAAGATAAGAAGAAGCCCACATACAAGCCTACCCAGTTTTGTTCCTTATGCATTGAAAAGTCAGGGATATGTTTGTGAGCTGAGCATTTGAAGAAAGGGAAAATCTTTGGGTTATTCATGCTGACTAGCACTTTGAAACCTTAATGGTGAAGCTTTGTAGTCATGAAAATGACTCGCCTCCTGCTTGAGAACATGGTAAAGCAAGGTGCTTTCCCACAGAAACAAGCTCGCTGGTCTGTAGTAAAGCAGACTTTTGGGAGAGGATTATCATGCACAGGCAGTGAGAAGCAGGCCTAGATTTTAACACAAAATTCAAAACATAGGTACTTGGCTGAGCTAGTTAATTTGATTTTCTTTAGAGTGTGTTTTCAATTTCTAATTTATGACAGGGAACGTTGTAAAGAATGTGTAAACTTTCCACATCCTTTTATGTAGGACTCCATAACTTCATGTTTTGATTTTCTAAAAACTTCAATCAAAAGCTTTGCCTGTCATCGGATTTTAATTAAAATTATTTGCACTACCCTTATTTCATTAATTTTTGGTGTTAGATATGCTAAGTGTGCTACTTTAGAGACTTATCACTGGTGATTTATGTCATTCACAAAATGAAGGCCATGGTTCTTGTGACTATAGCTTAATTTTTCCCCTATTTGCCCACACCTGGCCAAGTCTTGTCAAAGTGTATAACAACCAAAATTAGTATGTGGATACATCAGAGCTGGTGGTCCAGTGACATAATTGATGAGAGTACACGGTCGTACAGGCACATGTTTCATGTGAGGCTGACTTTGAAAGGCATATTGTGATTGTAAACCATTTCACTGCTAACTAGTTCTCCAGGCTGGAACCAAAGTCAGTTCATCTGTATTCCTTTACTTGCCTGTAGGTTAGCATTGTTCCAAGATTAAATGCCTGAGTTCTGAAAAGAGCGTGGAAGTATTAAAATGTTTATGCAAACATTGTCAAGTTATATTCTGCACTGCTGTTCCTTAAACTTTGTTTTAAATATCTAATTTAAAAATTTGTATAACATTATTTTGTTTACTCAATGCTTTTGTGATGAATCGATTAAAATTCTTATTAATACTGTCTACTCTCATATAATTAAATGCTGGTTTTCTTGTTGATAAACAAATATGGCTTGCTGTTTGTAAGGAAACAGTCGTTGAAATCAGGAAAGCTTGCCTCTTCCACATCTTCACAGCTAAACTGCGACACAACAAAGTCAGCAGCACTGGGAGAAACAGACGACTTCCCGGTACATCACCCACAATGACATTTCAAACACCTGAATTGCCCATCCCCAGCCACAAAACCGACACAATTGACTGCTCTCAATTATCAGTGCTTAAGTACCTGACAGTAACTGGAGCAAGAGCCCCAGTGTAAGGACCTGTTCGCACACAGCGAAGAATTCCTGATGGTGGCCCACCACTACAGCCTTCACATAGCGATTGCTGTTTCTGGTGCTCGACCAGAGCCTGGAAGTTCAGGATGGGCAGAGCAGACAATCCCATAAAATACTTGCACACACCAGACGATGCTGAAGAAGGAAGAGGTTTCCGAGGTTGTGTGGAAGGGATGAAAGAAAGGGCCAAGGGAGGATAGGGGGTGGTGTAGAAAATCACATTTTGATAGTAAAATAAGGGACAAAGTATTTCAAGATATGTAGGTCATTTCAATGAGTATTTCAATACCAAAAAAAAAAAAAATCCTTATTTGTACAAGAAATACACACTGACCTTGTGAGAATGCAGCTTCCTGGCTGCTGGGCCCTGGTCTGTGCCCTCTGTCTCTGCTCTTTCCTTGGTCCAGACTCCTAGTTTCTCCATCATGCTCAGTGCTTGATCTTGACATTCCAGATGACACCCCAGGTAAGCAAAACACCCCTAAACATTGCGTTCTGGTATCAGGACTGCTGATGCCAGACAAACCAGGAGGGAGGGTTTATTGCTCACCATGAGGCTCTGTGGAGGCCAGGGGCCAGCTGGGCGAGAGGAGGAAGGTCTTGCATGCAAGGGAGGGGATGGAGTACTGCAGAAAAGACCTTCCATTGAGACCTTCCTCTAAGCCTAATGAGGGAGATGCCAGCTTTCCTAAGAATTTGCTCAGATGGAGAGGCGTTGAGCAGGGAGAAGAAAAAACAACAGGTACCCAAATGTATTCAGATTTTATTTCTAGAGTATTCCATAAGCAGGAAGAACAAATTTACAGGGGCTCAGCAATCTTTGCTATAGTCATGGAGAATGATGAATAAGATTCAACAGAGAAATAGGGGAAAAGCCTGTCTGTGAAGGTGCACCTCAGTGTATACAGGTGGGATCTGGTACTCAGGCTGTAAAAGGAAATCTCCCCCAACTCGTAGTCCAGGAAAACTCCAACTCGAATGCGTACTGTGCGGGGGTCAAGGTGTGTTCTAGAAGACCACTGAAATCGCCAGCAGCCATCGCGGGGGGACGGTGGGATCCGGGCAGCTCTGGGGAACGATCCCCTGCACACACCCAAGGACCACACACCTGAGCCCCGGACGTCCACCTGCCAGAAGTGCCTGCCGGCCTCGAAGCCCTCGGCGCTCAGGACAGCCTCGTGGGAGGTGAAGGCCTGGGGGCGTGGAGCGCAGGTCGGGTCCATCCTCTCGCAGGAAAAGGTGGCGGTTTTCCTGTCTGGCGAGATGATGAGGTTGTGGTGAGCGGTGTCGGGGTCCAGGCTCAAATCCACCCAGAACTTGCTCATGATGGTTTGCAGACTAACGTATTGTGGGGACAGATTGCAAGTGTCCTTGAGGAACGCACATTGAAAGGTTGCTGGGACCTTTAGGCTAACACACCTGCTCCATTCAAGCTGGACGCTTGCAATCCCCCGCAGCAAGCCCAGGTCTGTCTGCGCACACTGCGTGGTGATGGCACCGAGCAGACTCTTGAGTGTGGTGCCATAGTCTGACATCTGGTTTTTATTTTCTGTGACTTTCATGTAAATCTCAGACATTTCCCTCAGTACCCGAGTGTCAATGACATCCCTCTCCTTATCCACGTAACTCTTAAAGTGTGCGAACTCAAAGTACAGCTCGCTCCTCCGCTCTTCCACCTTCTCTCCCAGTGCCCGGATGGTGGAGACCTGCGTGGCCAAGCCCCTCTCGGCGTCCTCCACCTGCTTCCTGAGGGGCCCCAGGGAGCTCTTGAGCTTCTCCCTGTGCCGGGCCGCAGCCTGCCCCACGGGGGCCAGCGGGTGGCCGCGGTGGGGGGCGGCGGCCCCGCACCGGGCGCACAGCAGCTCCAGGTCCTCCTCGCAGAACAGGGCCAGGGCCCGGCCGTGCCGCGCGCACAGGGCCTCCTGGGCCCGCCGCCTCCTCTTGGCGGCGGGGGGCAGCGCGCTCAGGAGGGCGGTCAGGGCGCACAGCAGGGGGTTCCTGGGCGCGGCCCTGGAGGGGCAGGGGTGCTGGCACTGGGGGCAGGGGAGCACGTCCCGGAGGCCTTCCCAGCGCGCGCGCAGGCAGGGCCCGCAGCAGTTGTGGCCGCAGTCCAGGGTGACGGGGTCCCGCAGCTGGTCCCGGCACACAGGGCAGCTGGCCTCGGCCCGCAGCTCGTCCAGGGGGGCGGCCTGGGCCATGGGGGGGCGCTGGCCCGGGGGAGCTGCGAGGGCCTGGCTCCGCGGGGCGGGGGGGCGAGGCGAGGGCTGGCCGCCTCTTCTCGGGGCGCACGCGCCCCCGGGAGGCCCAGGCGCGGCAGGGAGAGTGGACCCCAAGCTGCTCTGCCTCTCCGGTGACTGCAGCGGGAGCTGCGCCCCCAGCACCCCTGCGTGTGCCCTCGCGCGGGGCCTGAGCCGGTGGCTGCTGCGTGTCCTCTCAGCGCAAGCGAGAGTGATTTACACACACGTCGGGCAGCAGATGGACAGTGCAGCCGCAGCCGGTGGGCGGGATCCTGCCGGAGACAAGCGCCGCGGGTGAGGCGGACATCGGGGAGAAAGGCCGCGGGAGCCCCCCAGTTTCCTCTGCGGCTAATCCCTGCATCTCCCCCAGAAAGGTAACCGGAGCCCGCAGGGGGGAGGCGATGACCTCGAGGCCAGCGGGAGGCGCCCCCGGGACGGTGGCGCACAGCGCCCACACACGCCGGAAGGGACCAGGGAGGGGCTCCCAGGGCCGCACCCGGATGCCGCCCGGGAAGTAAGCGGGGTGCACGGTGACCCATCCCTGCAGGCGGAACTGGCCTATTTGTTTAAACACTTGTTGTAAATGGCAGAAAGTTTCATTTAATAATCATCATCTTGTAGACACAAAACCCCACAGCTGTGGCCAGTTCTCCCCTGCTGACTCCTCTGAACACGCCCTGTCCTACTCTGCCCCCCCAGAACTTCTAGCTATTCCAGAGGGCTCTCTCACCCAGATATCAACCACAGGGGGCGCCCCTTGTGACCAGGAGTGCTGGACAGCACAGGCCAGTAGTGACAGTCACTACTGTTCCGCCAGAGGCGGTGTGGACACCCAGTGCACGGCTCTTGGGTGTATTCTCTCTCAGCTCCCGCCAGCCCGCTTCCAGCTCCTTCACCGCACCCCTTCACCGCACCCCTAGACCATTTTTCAACCCTTGGCTGATTGGGCCATTTAGCACCAAATAGCTCACAGCTTGCCCCTGATGGGTTCACTGCTCAATCCAGGGCGAACACTGTTACATGGAGGTGTGAGGCGTGGCTGCACAGCTGAGTCATGACGGGACACCCCGGGACTGCTGGCTCCTACCAGAGGGTTGTGGTAACACGGAGAGGCCCCCTGCATCTCCCAGACCCTCCAACCACACCAGTTGCCCTCCCTGCCTCACCCTGTAGGTGAGCACCCCACTACTTGGTGGCTCACCTGGGTTTGCTCCGGCAGCGTGTTCAACTTGAGGCCGGGCTGGGCCGGGAGCTATGCAAGAACCGTGGATTAGGGCGCTACAGGCACCTCCAGGCAGACAGCATGGTCTCAGGTTCCAGAACAAAGACACAGAAGGCCTGCTCTCCAGGTCTGTGCTGTGCAGAATGTCAGCTTAATATACCCCACAGGGTGTGTCCTCTCCAGCCTGTAGGGTGTGTCCTGCCCCTCCCTCCTCTCCATTGTTAGAATCCAAATCCCATCAGTGTCCTGGGGGATGATTGGCCTAAGGATACTTCCAGTCACCCTCTGAGGCAGCTTCCTGCAGGGTGTGGAGGTACTCTCCTGATCCCTTGCCCCCACCTCCTTCCAATCCTCCACCAAGTCTCCTCTGTCTAAGCTCAGCAGTTTCTAGCCACTGGGCATTGAAATGGCTTCATGTTCATCTCAGTGAAACAGCTGGACAGTGTTTTTATTTTATTAAGATTTCTTTATTCGTGCATGCAAAACTGGGAACAGGCCAGAGGCTCAGGGGCAGTGAGAGGCTTCACCAAAGACAGAGTGGGGAGCAGAACAGGCAGATGGACGAAGTACACTGCTGAGGGGAGCAGCGGGCGGGTCAGGAGAGGCCTGCTGGGCTCTGTGGGTCAGCTCCCTGCCTGGGCCTTGAACTCACTGTGAAGCAGCTGCCACCAGCTTCGCAGTGCTGCACTTTGACCTGTTGCGTCTGGCCGGACAGTCTGGACCCTTCCAGCAGGTGTGTGTCTCCATTGTCTTTTCACAAGGTCACCTTGACCTCTCACTCTTCCCAGGCTGGTGGAAACCAGCTGAGACCTTGGGGTGGATTCACTGGAGCACCCTTGGAGCGGAAAGTTGTACTTCCAAGTATTTGATCTACATTAAATAAAGAAGCAAATCCAAAATGTTCGAAGGCCAGGCGCTCCCTGGCAATGTGAGGGCTCAGCTGCCACACTACGTGGCTGTCGTGTGCCCTCGCGTGAGGCCTGAGCCGGAGGCTGCTCTGTGGCCCTGGGACGGTCACAGCACAAGTTGGATGGAATCCGAAAAGCAGTGACTCGGTTGTCACATCCGAGTGCCATTCGCATGAGCTGACCCACGCAGCAGGTGGGCGGGTTACCAGGAGGGACCCCGCTGTTAGGCCTTCACTGGGGCCTTGCTGACCGGGAAGGGCAATGCCCAGTCGTGAGCCCAGGCCCCCCACAGCAGGTCCCAGCAGGACCCGGGAGGCCCACAGAGGTTCACCCCAGAGGCAGCACAAGGCGCCCCCCTCCCCTGGCCTCCTCTGAGGCCACCACATCGCCTCTCTCCCAGCTGCCAAAATCTCGCCCACGTGCACCAGCAACCTCGTGCCCTCTCTGCAGCAGCCCCCCAGAATCTCCAACATGTGGGGCTCCCCCTCGCTCCCTCACCCTGGAGGTGAGGCCAAGCCCGGCCCCCAGTGCCCAGGAGGTTGGCGGTCACCTGCTCGCCGGTCTGGGACGTGCTCTACTCAGGGCGGGATGGGGTCCGGGAGGCGAGGAGGGTGCTCTGGGCTCCCCATCCTGGGACTGCATCGTCCTTGGGCCCAGCAGGATCAGGCCAGGAAGACACCCGGCGTCCTGCGCTTGCGTGGTGCAGGGAGGGGGCGACCCCACCTGCTCCCCGCAGGGCGCATCTCTCGGATGGTTTCCAGGCCCAGCTCCTCATGGGCCCCCAGGACCCTCCCTCCACCCAGAGGCCGCCTCTCTGCAGGGGACCCTGTCCTGTAGGCATCCTTGACCCTGGGCTTGACCTCTCCAAGGCTTCAGCCACCCCCTGGGCCGCTGCCTTTGCTGGAGATTCGTCTTGTTTCCGGCTCCTGGGGTTCTGTGCCTTCTGCCTCTGGAAGACGGCGTTTCCAGACTCTGCTCTGGTCTGTTTTCAGGGTTCACAAGCTCATTCAGCACGCTCAGCCTCCACAGGCTGCAGAGGACCAGACTGGACAGCGCAGCTGACCCTGCCCCTCCCGCAGGCACCTCGAGGGGGAGGCGTGACTGCCAGCCCAGGACCTGCGGGAGCGACCGGCGAGTCTGGGATTCTAGGGTGCGGGCCAGTCAGTCACCTGTGCTGCTGACCTGCTGCAGGTCCTTGTGTTACAGGGCAGGGAGAGGGCACCACTTGGGGACCAGACTCAGGTCTGACCTCAGATCCGTGTATGCACAAGTGTGGCCATGGGGTACCGGGACGCTCCTGATCAAGCCGCCCCGCCCGCAGCCAGAAGAGCAAAGCGCCCCAGCCTGGAGTCTTCGCAGCTGCGGTCTAGACAGCCGGGGGCTCGCGACCCGCACGCTGACCAGTGGGCCCGGCCCTGGCGTCCCCGCAGCCGGGGGCTCGCGACCCGCACGCTGACCAGTGGGCCCGGCCCTGGCGTCCCCGCAGCGCATCCTGCAGGAACGAAGAGGCAAGACCTTAGCTAGCCAGCCGCATGCACCGCTAACTTAGCACAGACCCCAGGAATAACGCCATTTTCCATGGCGACCACTCACTCTTCCAGCTTCCTCACTAAACCCAGTGTTTGTTGGGACAGTTCTCAACACCTGAGCTGCGTCTTAGGTTGGAAACTCACCTGGATGGTTGAGTGACCTTGGGTCGGGGTCGGGG